TTTCTAGTTTGACAGTGTTGTAGGAATTAGTTGGTCAGCACAGTGATGGCATAGGGGGGGGGGAACTGTCCTTGTGTCTAGTTGAGCCGTATAGCATAGTTTTGAGGTTAGAAGTTGAAACTGTTTATGTCCAGAATGTGAGAGGTCTGTAGATATTTTCACAGCCCTCTTTCTGGCTTGTGCATTATACAGGTCCTCAGTGGAGGGGACATTGGTAGCAATTGTTCCCCCCCCCCCCCTGTAGTTCTAATTATCCGTTGAAGTCTGTGTTTGTCTTGATTGGTTGCAATGCCAAACCAGGCAGTTATAGAGGTGCAGATGGCAGACTCAATAATTCCTCTGTAGAATTGTATCAGCAGCTCCTTGGGCAGCTCGAGCTTCCTGAATTGGCACAGGAAGAACATTCTTTGTTGTGCTTTTTGGATGATGTATTTGATGTTGGATTCCATTTTATGTTTTGAGATATGACAGAACCTAGAAATTTGAAGGTCTCTACTGTTGATACTGTATTGTCTAATATTATGAGTGGTGTTAATGTAGGAGGGCTTTTTCTCCATCTTCTTGATAATGCATAATCAGTTTATTTTTTAAAACTGATAAGTTAAAAAATGCTATGACATAGTTATCCAGTTGATGCATAGTCAATTGATAGTACCATTTTTAGTGAAAAATTTCCTTATTCTCTAGAGAACTTCCTAATACACAGTCTTGCTATTAGGAGAGGCTGAGTAAAATATGTGTGCAGCACTCCTGAGAAATGTGATTCATAGCCTCATTTTAAAAAAAGGAAACAGGCATAGCATTAAACATACATTACTAGAATAAACTTCACATTTAGTATACTTATTACTTAGCTTGGAAGATTGATATGATCATCTTCTCTTGTTCCAAACTTATCATATGCACTTGACAGACTCTATGTTTGAATTTTTGCAATGCCAATGTGCCATTTCTTGTCATTCACAATGATGTTATTCCCAATTCATCTTTGTCTTCTCTAGTCCCATTCAAGTGATACAAGCCAGTGTAGAATTCACCCTGCTTTAGTGATCAGCCTTTCCTTTTCCAAGCTGTACTATAAGTGAAAGTCTGCTCCATGACATCATCCTGATTCTCCATAGCACGGGTGTCAAACTCACAGCCTACGGGCCAGATGTGTCACACGCTGACTACGCCCATGCTGAGTTTAATGAAGGGGAAAGTCGTGATACGTCATGTGACAACTCCATGACGACGCGTGTTTGAAACCCCTGCTCTATAGCAAAGAAGTCTTTACAAACTGTGCCCACAAGCCCTAATCTTGTATTATATGTCAAATTTAGGTTCCAGCTCCTTGGCTAGGCTAACAAGGTTTGGAATTCAGCATCTGGAGAGATATACATTGCCTTTGTAACATTTTTACTTCTTCAGTCTTGCTCATTCTTTTCAAACATTTTTGCACAATTAAGTTAAAATTAGATCACTGACTCTGCTTTGGTTTTGTCTCTAAACATATTGAAAACAATAGTTTTTGATTTTGTGCTATTATAAATAGCAGACCAAAAGAACTCATGACATTCCATGCATGAGTTCATCTTCACGCCCATGATGATCATTTCAATTAGACTGTAGAAAAGAAAATTACCAATTATAAGACTAATTAACAGTCTCAATTACAATTTAACACTAATTTGGGGACAACTGCACTCTGCTACAGCATTCTATCCTAAATGGTACAGACAGAGCAGAAAGAAGAGGCCAAAGTGTGACAAAAGACATAGTTTATTTATCTACAAGTGTTTTGCGTAGTATGACACTTTTTGATATCTTGAGTCAAATTCATACGGAACACTAATGATCAATCTCCATTAATAAGATACCAAGCCATCCCCATAATCTGAACAAAGTTGCTAGGTCAACAATTAGTTGAACGATTCATTCAGTTTTTCTATTCCAGTCAAAATCCATTGCAATCAGAAGAGATGAAAAAGCAAGCATTGTAAAATGATGTAAATAGTTCCTATCTATTGATAGATTTGAGTTAGGTTCTGAGCATTGAACTTATATTATTTCTTTTTGCAGGAAGAATTGATAAATGTCATCATCTAAAGTACCATATTTTTCGAAGTATAAGATGCACCTTTCCCCCCCTAAGAGGGTGAAAATTTGGGTGGATCTTATACACTGAATGTAGCCCTGCCCACCCACTGGCCCCCACCCTTTGGCCTCTGCCTCCCAGCAATTTACCTCCTTGCAGCAAACTGAGAAAATGGGGCTTGTGGAGGCAGCAATAGGCTATGGCAATCCCTGCAGCCTGCAGTGAAACTTGCTGTTTGTTGCAAGGGGAAAATTGCTGGGAGGCAGAGGCAGATCCCCCCCTTGTTTTCCTCCCCAAAAGCTAGGTGTGTCTTATACTTCGGAGTGTCTTATAGTCAGAAAAATATGGTATCTACTAGTGCAGTGGTTCTCAACTTTTTCTTCACCTTGGACCCCCTTTTAACATCTTTTGTAGCCATGGACCCTCAAGACTTAATTCAATATTTAAATCATAACATTTTTCAAGCTTTTGTGGACCCCCTATAGCATCATGGACCATACTGTACTACTGGATACCTTTACAAGAACTGAAAACCATTATTGGTTTATTACGCTTCATACATTTTCAGAATGACTTTGGTGGGAGGAGAATCCTATGTGTATTCTCTTTTGAGAGAATTGAGCGGCATAAAAATATGAATGTAAGAACCAAACATCCATCTAATCTAGAGACAGAGAATGGTTTGAGGATCCTATATTAGAATTGAACCAAAGCATTTAACATTCTGTAATAATCTGGAGATTCCATATTGTCATTTTCCATAAATTTGCCAAATCATCATTTAAAGTCATCAAAGTCAATGTAAAATCTTGTCACAAGTTTATTTTATAACTGGCTATTCATTTGCAAATGTGCAACAGTAATTTCCAGTGGATGAACTCCATTTTTTTAAAAAAAAAAACCTTTAGGTTCTCTATATAATTAATTATATACTGTATACTTCTCTCCTGAACCCATCTGCTGAGACTTCTGCAATTTCTCTAGTTCTCTATCTTTACCTGAGATAGGAAGAATAGAGTTGCAGTCTTGCAAATATATAGATGGTACTACGGTAGTTCTTTTTGAAAATTTCTTCATAATGTCTAGAATTTTCCTTTTTCAGAATTATTCCATGTGAGCTGATGAACTGTATATTACAATGCCAGGGTTTTCTTCTTGGCTGGATATTTCTGCTTCTTGTTTCATCAGTGCATATATATGAAGTCCACCTTTTTCCCCAGGATTCAAGCACAATTGATCTTATTTGCTATTTGTTACCTACTGAAAATGCTTCTCAATTTCTTTGCAGATAACTTCTTGTTTCATTGGCAATTTAATTTACCCATTCAAAAGCAAGAATATGAGCCTTTTAAAAAACATGGCTGTGCGTGCACTTTGAAATATATATATATATTTGAAACACATGCCAACATGTAAATACTTTCTTCTGAGCTCGCAATGGTTCTTACTGTCTTTGCACGTGTGTGAATGCACTTCTCTCTCACTATTTAATTTGAATAATTTCACATTGTTAGGTAGCCATACTGATATGCTTCCCAAAATTATACATGGTTCCTCAGCTCCTAGAAGGAGCTGTATTTGTTTTATTTAATTTTTTGGAAATTTATATTGCCGCCTATTTGCACTCAAGGCGGCTTCCAGAAATATATATATATAAAACTAATAAAAAAGAATAAAATAATATAATAACCCTCCATCCCAGCCACAACATGTTACATGAACCATTTAATGGCCTCCATCCCACACTGCATTCCCCAGGCCCGCTGATAGAACCAGGTCTTCAGTGACTTCCGGAAGAGAGAAGGGGCCATTCTAATCTCTGGGGGAATGATGTTCCAGAGAGAGGGAGCCACCATGGACAAGGCCCTTCTGGGTCTCACCCACAACATTCCTTGCCTCTCTGTTCTGGTGGGTCAGGTAGATGTAACCAGCAAGAGATGGTTCCTCAGATAACCTGGTTCCAAGCCATTAAGGGCTTTAAAGGTGACAACCAGCACCTTGAATTGCACCCAGAAACAAATCCAACAACCAATGCAGCTCCCGCAGGAGATATAATACATGTGCACAAACCCATGCAGGCCACTGCATTTTGCACCAACTGGAACTTCCAGATGCTCTTTCAGGGCAGCCCCATGTAGAACACATTCCAATAATCAAGGCGGGAAGCAACTGGGGCATGAGTGACCTTGAGTAGGGATTGTTGATCCAGGAAAGGCGTAACTCGCGCACAACCCACAGTTGTGCAAAGGCCTCCTGGTCATGACCATCACCCGATCTTCGAGAAAAGGAAGAATTAATATTACCCTGCCAGTTTAGAAACAGATGTGCTGTCATATATAGAAGCTTCACCATCTTTAGGCAAGACTTAATAATCTTTCTGAAGAGACTGGGAGTAGGGACCACTTCTTTATTTCAAATAGGAGTCAAATAGGGTACAAATAATAGCTTACAATAATAGTCATTGTTTTAAAAAAAGGAACTAGTTTTTGAACTTAGAGAATTTAAAAAAAGGAACAGATGGATAAAATGTCAGTGGAAGAAACTGCTGTTACAGCCAGAGAACAAGGCCTCTCAGGAACAGGTAGAAGGAAGAAAACAAGTAGATCTGGCATTTTTAAAAATCTCTTCCTATTACTTTAAAGTGCTGAATATTTTCTTTACCACAAAACTAGAAACAACATGGAAACCAACCAACCCCCCGATAAATTTTATTCAAGTCAAATCCATACAGCTAAATAACAGCTATGTTACATATACATTTCCCAAATAATTCTGGGATAACATGAAATAATTCTTCTGCAAGGGAAGAATAAATAATGACTTTCATTTAAAAAAATATCTTTTCCTGCATTGGGTATGGTCAAAACAGTTAATCAAGTTAATGGTCCAGATTCAGGAAAAGGATGTTTTAAAAGAATAAAATCCACACAGACGATTTCCTGTTCAGAAAAAAATATATGATTTCCTTTATCTCTACCCCCAATTCCCCATTTTTTAAAAGGCACATAGCTGAATATGGCAGAGTCATTCTAGTTTCAACAGATTATAAGCAACACAATAGTCAAAGTGAAGAAGAATAGAAAGGGTCTGCTAGAAGAGCTTGTTTCTGCCTGGATATGGTGGGAATGCTTGTGTCCTCGTGGCTGAGGTTCCACAGAAATGTAACCATTAATTATATGAATCCGCAGAGGTGGCTCGGTGGTGCTATAAGACAAAAAAAGAAAAAATCCAATTAAATGCAGTTGATCAAAAGGGGGATGGGGGGAGACGGACAGGCCCTGAGTTGCATAATAAGAAGCATTACACTGCACAGTTCACAAGAAATGCAGATCTTTGACCAAGTGTGGAAGCCATTCATTGAATTTTCCACGTGCATTCCTTGCATAAAGGTAAGGTAAAGGTTCCCCTCACATATATGTGCTAGTTGTTCCCGACGCTAAGAGGCGGCGCTCATCTCCGTTTCAAAGCTGAAGAGTCAGCGCTGTCCAAAGACATCTCCATGGTCATGTGGCTGGTATGACTAAATGCTGAAGGATGCTACCTTCCAACCAAGGTGGTCCCTACTTTTCTACTTGCATTTTTACACACTTTCGAACTACTACATTGGCAGAAGCTGGGACAAGTAACAGGAGCTCACTCTGTTCCATGACGCTAGGGATTCAAACCGCCAAACTGCTGACCTTCTGATTGACAAGCTCACTGTCTTAGCCACTGAGCCATGTGTCCCCTTATTCCTTGCATAATACATAGTAAAAGTGATCCAGTTTCCTAACATTAGTTACATTATAGCTCCCAATGAGGTCAAATAGGGTTATCTATACCTTATTCGCAGACATTTTTGCTTCTTTGGATGTTTACTCCTTGCAAATTCCTATGCTTATTACCAATGTTTGCACATCCATTGGCTTTTTATTTTATTTTTCTCCATAATATCATTTCCCCCCCAAAGCAATTCAAATTGTAATCTTTTGAGATTTTGTTCAATCTTCCTAAGGTGAATAATAGTCAGATATTTCTCATATCATTGTACTGATTTAAATTAACTTTCAGGATCAGAAACATAAACAGTATTAAAGCTTCTGACTTTTCCCATGGAACCATTAAACCTTGGGCTATTCTGTAATTGATCCACTATTCTGACCTCTCCGGCTTGAGGGTAGATATTTTCTTGGGCAGAATTATATTAACCTTGGCTATAAGCACAATTATTAACCTGAAACCATTCCATCCCTTTCTTCTCACTTTCCTTTAACCATTTAATACGCCAAATATGGGGAGATGACAACCTTTAGAAAAGGCCTGGAACTAAATGTCCAAAAGATGAACCATGTAAAAGATGCAAGAAATGAGCCAATGATATTCGACATGCGAGTGAGAAATGAAAATCTGACATCATTTTGCATCCCTGTCCAACCACATGGTTTATTAGTGCTCTGTTAAGCATAAAGTAAATTAAAATTCCAGGCAAAAATGGAAAGTATATTGATCAATTAAATAAAAACATATTAATTTCAAATTAGACCAGTCAGTCTATACCAGCTGCAATATTTTACTCTACTTCTGTGTGGCAAAGTGCATTAAACCAGTGGTCATCAACTTTTGTGGCTTCACCCAGCTGGGGAAAGAGGAGAACTGGGCCGCACAAAGGTGGGCCTGTACACACATATACAGCTCAACTTGCGCGTAACAGCAGGCCAAGTGCGTAGCTGCACAAGTGTCTACTGGCCCACCACTCACACAAGTTGAGCTGCGTACATGCTCCAGCCAATCACTCACATGGCCCAATTCCAAATAGGTCACAGCCCAGTAGTGGGCCACAGCCCCAAGGTTGGGGACCCCTGCATTAAACAAAAAGAAACTTGGGAAATTTGAAGGTAATTAATGTACCTTTTAAGCCCATACGTCCCTGAAGTTTTTAAAAAAAATGTTCACAGACAAATAGAAAATAGCCAGTTGACAGTTATGCAAAGAACAAGTAGCTTTAGTAGTGAGATGGGCAGCATATAAAATTCATAAACAAACAACACTGATGGCAGATCTCTCCAAAGAGAAACCAAGACTGAACTCCTGCTTAACTTCCAGAAATCAACAGAAAAGGCTCTTTTTTCCCCAGTGCTCAGTACTATAGAAGGTCCCACTCCAAACCAAATAATGTGGAATGATTATATGCTGTCACAGTTCTCTACCTATACTTTCAGATTATATAGCTGTATTCATCCATCCTTTAGTTGTGTTATTAACAATAAAACAAGAAAATGCCAAAATGTAATGGCAACAGCAATTATTATTATTATTATTTTTAACTTTGGTTAATGTTAAATTTATTACAGTAAATGACAATTGGAACCTCTAAAAATGTTTTCACTTTTGAAATGATGAAGTTTTCTTGATTCTTTTTTATTTGTAGCAAGGTCTGTTCTTTGTAACCATAACTTTGATATTTTCCCCCTTAAGGTTGAGAACTTGAAACAGAACTATTTTGGTTTTTAGACAAGATGCTTCCCAAACTTGGATAAATTACACAAATAGGATAAAAGTGTTCTTTCTTTGGCTAGTGACACGTAAACTTGTTGCCCAAACACAACAGGGGTATTTGAATAAGAACTTTCTGACAGGCGTATTTGAGTAATGAAGGAACAAATTTGGGAGCACCAAGTTAAAATATGACCAGGTTATGGATGATGTGGAAAATATGAACAAAGCCTTTTCCCCCTCCTTCTCTTGAAATGTTAAGAGTTCAGCCTCTGATGCTGAACCCAAAAAACTAAAAGAATCACAGCTACCCTATTATTTCTTTGCAATGCTTAATGAAATGATAGAATTTATTGCATTAATTATAGTGAAACTAATTTAGATGGTTTTAAAAAGGCCTAAAGAAATTCACTGATACGATTATGAGTGGCTCTTGATTTTTGTGGCTATTTATTATGTAAATATCCCCTTGAATCAAAGGGAGTGCTTCTTAAATATGATTTGTTGGACAGGAACAGCTCTCTTGGTTGTGAACTTCCCAGATATACATAATGAACTAATTCATGATATAGAACGCTGGCACCTTTTGCCTATGCTTACAAGTTTCTTGTGTTACTCTTTTTTGTATATTACTGTCTTTCCTACTGTCTTTCCTGAATTTCAATACTATCTCTCAGAGGGATAAAACTACCTGTAAGAATGCAAATCCTCCTAGATTCATAGCTATTGCTGGATGGACAGCTGGCACATCAATAGCAGCCCTACCTGAAGTGAGACAACTTTGGAACAATGAGTCATGGCCTCAATATGGCTTGTCTGGACTGCTGGAATATGTTCTACCTTAGTCTGCTATTGAATACCAATAAGAAGCTAGAATTGTCCAGAAGACAGCTGCTGTATTGGCTGATACATGCCATGAAAAAGAATATGACATTAGTGCCCTGGATCTTCACTAGCTTCCAGTAGGCTTCCAAATGCAATTTCAAAAACTGGTTTTAATCTGTAAATCTATATAGCTTGGTACTGAGAGATACATGTAGGATCATGTATCAGTTTTGAACTATCCAACATGCATGTCCAAGAGGAACCACTGGTGATCTCCCCCCACTGCAAGGTATGTAGGTTGAATTTTGAAGGTGCCGAGTCTGCATTAAGAAACAGCGTTAAGGAACTGCCACATTGCCTGGCTTTCTGTGAATTACCAAAAACTGAACTGAACTATTTCAGAGAGCTTTAAGAGTTTGAATTGATTAAATTGTTTTATTGGCTATTATGTAGATTTGGAGTTCATCTGCTTTTATTTTTAGCTGCTTTAATTATACTATAGGTATTTTATCTGTTGTTTTTTATGTTTGTACTGCAAACTACAGAGAATCAATCTTTTGCGGTAGGCGGAAAAGCCAATAAACAAACAAATTATGTTCTTCTTAAGGAGCTCCCCTTTTGGTATTTCTTGGAAATGTACCACCTGCTTCTACTCACTCATTACCTTTCCTCGATGCGTACCCAAAGGTCATTGAACTGACGTAAACGCTGTTTCTTCTGCTGTTTCTTCTTCTTCTTGTATTTCCTCTCTGCTTTCTCCAGCAGGTCCATGCTTTGGGGCAATAATGTGCGGGGCAACAGGTCATCCTCCTCTTCTTCCTCCTGTTGTTGGATCTCTTGGGAGATAATGTAAGAGGCATATTCTGGGGACATTGAGGAGAGGGCAGACAAGAACTTCTGTTGATTTTTCCCACTACAGAAAGCAAAATAAAATAAGGTTGGGAATAGGGGTTGATCGTCTTCCAAGTTAAGGTACAGAACAAGTAAATTGCTAGGAACATTTAAAATCTGAATGCTTCAAACATCTCAGCCCCTTGAAAGTGCCAAAAATGTTCAAAAGTGCCCATTTACCTTCTTTTTAAAGCAGGATATAATAAGATACTAAAAAGCCTGTGTCCCATTGGGTTATTATTTCAGAGATGTTTCCTTATCTAAACAGAAAACAAAATGGGTGTGGGCTGGCAAAAATTTAGAGGGAGCAGCAGCAATTTTTGACTTCCTGTTGGCTTCCCCATTGAATGTCATTATGGGAAGCTGTCAGTGAGCATAGAAATCTTCCTTCCTTCCTCCCTCCCTCCTTCCTTCCCTCCCCTTCCCAAAGGGAAGGTACATGATGGCTGCTGCTGGATAGGGGAGGGAACAAGGGTATGTGCAAATGGGCAGGAAGCTGTCAGGCAACATTGAAAATGAGGATGACATGACTGCTGCAATGAGAAGTTGACAGCTTGACGACACTGAAGCAGCCACACCTCCCCAAATCACATTACCTCAGTAGTAACCATCCTGGCATTCTGTAAGTTACCCCATTTGAGGTAACTTGGTTGAAAATGTTTTGTCATATGATGCATCATTTAACCCAGTTAAAGTTTACAGAATAAGAGTTCTAGTAGTACAGGTAGTTAACCATTATTATGGTCACAAGTTGTAATAAAATGAGATGGGTGCATGACTGACATGATTTTACATTTCTTGCAGCAGTCATTAAGCAAACACAGAGGGGTTGTAAGTGCAAATGTGGTTGTTAAGCAAACTGGTTTATTTGTTATGGTATGGTTTTGCTGAAAATTAGAAGTATGTACCAATTTTTGGCAAAGCCGTCATAACCCATGGTCATGTGACCACAGCACATTGCAATTTGCTGCAAAGGTAACAAATGCAATAGCACTCCAACACAAAGCCACTTTTGATACTGTATTGCTCACAGAATGTATTAAAAGGATGAGTAAAGGAAAATATCCTCTTAAAGACAATTGAAAGGATAATAATCTGTATCATGTGGCTGGAGAGATTATCTTCAGTCTCTCCAAATGCACAAAATACCATACTGTATGCACATACTATCCAGTGCATGCTAAAGGCAACATGTAGAAAAATGTAGCATTTGCAAAGCAGTGGATATTATGCGACTCCATTTTTCTTTCTCTAGTGAGCTGAATTCACAAGAAAGACAGAAACTAAAACAAACATCCTTCATGCCTTTAATGCTCAATGAAATGCACTCAGTGAACCTTAACTCAGGAATGGGAATATAAAATAAACTTCAGATAAACTGTTTAAAGGCAGGCAAATAGAAGATGAAATGCAAGTTTCTCAGGAGAGCCAAAATGAGAACAGGATGAGTCTGAATGTTGCTTTTCCCAAAAGCAACTAGAGAGAGAAAGCAGCATTTAGAATTCAGGAAGGGTTTGTACAGAGATACTTCCCATTCTCTCTGATGAGTCAACATTCAATGACTCATCCATAAAGAATGTTTAAGCAAAAGGGTAAACACCACTTCCATATGATTAAATACTGAAGGGAAAGGCAGTCAAAGAAAATGAAATATTTCCTTCCATTCTGGCGAAACATGGGTAAATACTTAACTATCTTCCTTATATTCTGATCATAACACACTTTTACTTGGTAGTTCTTTATTATAACCTAGCAGAGTCTTCCTCCTGCTTCTTGCCTCCATCCTTCCATGTATATGGAATAAAATTCCCACTGGTGTGGGAGAGAAAAGGTCATATTCAGTCTAACGTTTCTTGAACTCATCACATTTAGGAGAGTTTAGGAAATCCCCAGCACACTGAGTGTCTTATAATCAGTAAAACAAAAATGAAAATTTAAACCAACATGAAAGGATTCTTGTGTTTATTTTAAACTATTATTGTCATGGCCAGGGCTGTCAAGCCCGTGGCCCGCAGCCCAGTTTAACAAAGGGGAAAGTCATGATACTTCATGTGTCAATGCTGTGACGACATGAGTTTGACACCCCTGTAATAGGGAATGGCATAGTTCTAGTCTTCTGCTGTTGCAATTAGAATGATCTGTGTCCATTGAAATTATTTGTATTTCTTCTAAACCTCCCCCCCCAAGCCGTTTTGATAATTACTTGTGAAACAAATGTCTATTTATTGAAGCATATTTTAATTGTATTAAAACAAGATAAAAAATAATAATTAAGCTTTCACTTTGCATTGTGACAGAATTGAATGGATTTTCATCTCTGCTATTTCAGAGTTCCTGTTTCTTTTAAAGAACTACTGAAATGACTGGCATTCTACATTGGAGGAATTGTTCTGGAATGTGTAAGTCAGCTTTAATCTTCTGAAAAGATCGTATTTCGGTTGATAAAAACTTTCTGGTGTTGCTGTCTGCCTGAATGCCAAAAGATGTATAGGACCTGACAAGTCTGCTATATTTGCGCAAATTTATTCACATATGGAAGTCATAACTTGGCACTTCATTCATCAAGCGAGGAAGTGAAGTTTAGAGAGGAATATACGTTATTGGAGCAGAGACCAACTCACAAAAGTGACATCCAGTACCATTTACCATGGATAGATAGAAGATAAGATATCCCTTAGAGAAGAGTAATATTTGTGTCATCTGGAAGAAAATTATAACCTGCATCAGTTTTAGAGTAAATTGGAAACATTATTTCATGAAACTATAGTACAGTGCATGATGGCTATTGAGGCATGATTATATTTTTGTTCATCTTACAAATATTAAGCTTCTACGTGGTAAAACTATTGACACAATGGTCATCCTGTGTTTTTTCCATCAGAGAACTTGAGGTATGAGTGAGGAGCAGAGGAGAGTGTGGAAAACTGGAAGGCTTTTCATTCTGCAAGTTGTCCAGATTCACACCTTTTTACCTTGAATAAAATGGCAGCAGTTTCAACTCCAAATACATTTTCTATTATGTTTTATTTCCTGAAGATGCTTAATATCATTATTGTTAAAGCATTTGTTACCTGATTGCTTGCCCAGCAGATGTATGGTCTACTTCATATCCTTCTCTCCTCAAAACATCTATGACTGTATTGTTGCCCATGAAATGGCCTTTAGGTAATAAAAGAGAAAAACACCAAGTAACATTAATCAAAACACATAAACAACATTTAAAAAATGTTAGACAACAATGCAAATTTACTATCAACACCTGCTTTACTTGATCCTAGGAAGCTTTTATTATAAACCATCCCTTAGCTGGGGATTGAGGTTGAGAAAAGTTGCTGTAGTTGTGATGGCAAACATATGGCATGTGTGCCAGAAGTAGCACGCATAGCCCTCTCTGTGGGCACACATGTCATTGCTCTAGTTCAGCTCCACTGCGCATGCACGCGTGCCTCCCACTGGTCAGCTGATCTTTCGCTCTCTGCTGCGCATGCGCAGGGTAGGTTCCTACCAGTTTGGGGAAACCGGTAGTGGTTTGGCGGCCTGGGTCGCTGGAATCGGCAGTGGCCCAGGCCTGCCAGTCTCCCAAACTGGTTCTCTGAGCGGCGGCGCAATCTTGTTTTTTGGTTCTGCACATTCGCAGAAGAATTTTAATTGTACTGTGCATCTGCGCGCTCACGAGCAAACTGGCATTAGTGCCTGCCAGAACCCACCCCTGTGTTGGAATTCATTCTGGGTGTTTGCGTGCAGGGCAGTTTCTACTGTCTGAAACACACATACACAGGGATGCAAAAACATCGCACAAGAAACATCTTTCTGGCCTAACGATCATAACTCACTATGCAGCCTCATGTAACAAGAACTATGTGAGCCAGCTACTCCCACACATGCCCTTTCTCCCC